AAGTGGAGCCAGTATCAGTTTAATTCTATGTAACAGGTGATGAAAAGTAAAATCAATATACAGCAGTATTACATGTCTATAATATACTTGTGAAGTGCTCTCCAGAATTTCAAACGACTCCGTTGGACTCCACTGGACTCCACTGGACTCTATTGGACTCCATTGGACTCCATTGGACTCCACTGGACTCCATTGGACTCCACTGGACTTCATTGGACTTCACTGGACTCCATTGGATTGGAGTCCGCTATTTCCCCCTTGAAATTATGACATTAATCTATTTTCAAGGATAACATTCTTCATATCATACAATCAAATGAGTACAGTGTGATTCAAAAATATCTAGAGGAATATGTGATTTTATTACAAAAGAAAAGCTTGTTAGCGTAGCCCCCTTGGAGCTGAATTATGGAACTCACACATATGTTCTTCAGCTTCGTTATATTAATACGAAATACAGAAGGTGTGAAATCAAGAATTTTTTATTTTTCATTTTCTGACGGACGCTCTATTTTTCGTTTTCATTGTTACTATTCACTCATTATTTTTTTTTCGTATTTTTTTTGCATTATTTTTTTAAATTTAATTCTATTATCGTTGCAATCATTTATTCAACCGGCAAATATGCCTCTTACACATATACATTTAATCTACAGCAAGTATCAATGAACTATTATGTATCTCGATCTCAAGTCACAACACTAGCACTGAGTAAGTTTTTTCAAATTAATAACTTGATCAATCGATGATTTCTTATGATCGTTTACGTCTTAAATACATTTTTATATGGACAAAAATCCAAAACTGAACTTACAGGAATACAAGTATATAAATGTTATTAATTTCATCTTTTCCACAATACTCTAACTTATGCTAGAATAGTCAAAATTTCTTCTCATTTTTTACACTGATTTTTTTTCTACTATTGCATTAAAAAGATTTATTGTACTAATGACAAAATACAGTGTTTAAATTCTTTAAAACGCGATGGTTCTTTTCTAATGATAACCGATTGTCAGCAAATGCTGCCATTTTTATTTCTATACTTTGAATAAAATGTTTACTATTTTTCTGGAGTTGCTATGGTCTGTAATGGGGGCCTGTCTGTAAGGGGTGGGGGGCCGCAAAACCTCGAACTTAAAACTTGCACTCACTATTTTCTTCGAAAATATATGTGAGTTCCACAAAATCGAACTATGTACAACTGATTTAACTATACAATCATCATCTTGCCCATCCACATTACCCTCTCTAGTGATAGTTGATGAAGGATTAAAAGAATTTGTTCGTCTACACCAGATTGATCTATTAAGAACAATCAGTTATCAAATAAAGGATTACAAGATAACATTTATGATAAGAAGTTATTTAAACAATTTTGTGGGCACCATTAACTACAGAACAAGTATAAACAATAATTCTAATTATGTATAGTTTTGTTTGTATTTTTTTAGCGTGAAGTATTAAATATAATGTCTACTATTTGTAAAAAAACAACTGAAAATTTTCGAAGATATAACAATGTTTGAATAACGCATTTTATGTCATCAATTGCCAAAACCATTCACTACATGATAACTGGTACAGATCAAAAACTCTTTGAGAATAAATCTAACAAAATTATACAAGAATTAAAACGTCAAAGGCTTCATGACGAGTTGGAAAAATGTGAAATTAAAATTCAACATTATGAATACCTTTATCAACAAGCCATCGACACATTTGAATCCAAACTACTGCATACAAATTCTTCTTATCAAAAGGGTCATGTAGATATGATAAAGATGTTACTGAAAGTGTATTTGAATCATCATACAAACAGATTAATACGCGCAATTCGTTATAAAGAGTTTCGTCTACGCATAAAATTATTACGTTAGTATCGTCGTCATTCATTATCAAAACAACAAAGAATCGATGTGTATCTACAAATAATTGTCGATGTTCCAAAACTCACATTGAATCGTGTTCAATTAGATTATCTTTCAAGTAATGGTAAGTTGAAAATCTTCTACAATACTTATGCCAGTCACTTCATTCATTTTTACATGTTCATATAATTATGTGGTATCTGTATTACGGACCCAATTATACAAGACCAAATCAAAGTTATCTCCCCTTTTATAAATATCAACAAAAACAAGTGCAACAAGAACATAAGAATATTATGAATATACATCTTTTTGAACGATATATGACTTCCATATGTTATCTTGAGATATATCGTGTTCGAAAAGAACTTAAACGAATGAAATCAATTCAACATAGATTAAAGAAAGAAAAATATATTCTTCGTGTTACAGATAAAAGTGGTATATTTCATATTGGTCACACAATATATTATGATAAGAAAGTAAGAAGCTGTCGACAAAAGACTGGAGCTTATATTGAATTAGAATCTAATCCATTCTGAACAGTATTTTATCAAGTTGTTCATTTACTCAACGATCTTCGTAAAAAAAGACACA